GATGCATCTCTGAGATCCACTGATGTGAACCAGCAGGCTGGTATGGAGGGAGACCATGCTGAAGCGTTTGGGTCTGATAAACCGGTTGATGCCCCTGAGGCTGCCATCTTTCTTAGGGACTGTGAAACACCTGGCGGAAAGCCCTGGAAGATCAGAGGCATAGACCCATTCAGTGGCTCCTCACTTGGACATGGAGCAGATCTCAGTGAAGAGAAGCTGTGGTCCTTTTCAGGGCACCAAGGGGAGGGAGTAATAAACTCAGTCCTGTATCCGTGGAGGATGATGGAGGGTATCCATTGGTCTGAGGTGATCTCAGACCAAGCATGGGAAAATGGCCAGTCCATGGTGGAAAGTGGGATGAGAGGAGTCGATAGGGTGAGGGGGGAGTCCCAGGGGCCTTCGGTGTTCCTCTGGGCATCAGTGACCCTGATGCAGATGAGCCTGGCCTGAGAAATAGGCCGATGCCTGGGAGGAAAGTGGCCTGAGACCTAGGCTGGAATCAGAATGGTGATTGGTGCCACTTATGAAGGGCATGTCCTCAATTCTGGCTTTTGCCTCCACAGGTAAGCCTGAGGGGAGGCCTACAGCGCCTGCCATGAACCTGGTGCCACCTTGGGCTTGGTGCTCTGCTGTGTGACTCTCCTGCTGGGCAAGGTGAGCGACCTCAGTAGAGACATCGTGAGTTGGGTTTTGTGCCTCTGTAGAGGCACAGCCATTGCAGCCTGGTAGAATCACAGAACAGTAGAGCTGGAAGGGGCCATGAAGGCCTCCAGGTCCACCCCCTGCTGTTGCAGGACACCACGTCACACCCTCCCACTCAGATGGTAGTGGGCCATTTGGCTGGAAAGTGCAGGAGATGAACAGAAGAAGGGTCGAGTTTTACCCTCTCTTTCTCGATGGAGTGGGGTGCTCCCTGCAGGGTGGTCCTTGCAAGACTCCACCTGGATAGAATTTGGACTTGGATGCTGGAAAAGGAAGAGTCGCACATGTATGATCCACAACATTGTGCTCACTCGTCTGGAGTAAGACAGCGGAGGATACTGAACGGCTGCAAGCCTTAGCGCCTGTGATGGCGGGGAGTGGGTTGGTGCCGAGGCCTTGATGCAGGTGGAGAAATTGTCAGATCTAGCCAGACTCCAAGGTGGTCAGACAAGGGTGAGCTCACAGGATACCCAGAGCTCTTTACAGAAATCAGCCCCACAGTGTCCGTTGGGCTCAGGGGACCCTTCACAGTACATGAAGACTGGCTGGCCCGGCGAGGCCCCAGAGCAGGTTCTGGGGGTCAGCATACTGGGGGAGACCAATCACAGATGTCACCCTCGGGAAAGGAAGTGCTTGGCTCTGGCTGGAATTGCCAAACCAGGAGCTCCTATGTTGCAGAGGAGCAAATCGGCTGTCCCGCTCTGGGCACCGTGTCTCTATACACGGATGGGCAGCAGGGGGCGGCACATTGCCGCGTTGCATGGAGCTTCAGACCATTGCGGGTGGGGGCGGTTTTGTTTTTCTGGCAGCTTTTTACACTTTAGCGTTTCTGCGAGGATTACTGCAGTTCGGGCAGCTGCGGGGCACCAGCGGAGGAACGGGCGCCGGCAGCAGGGGGGCAGCCTGCGTGGAGGGCTCTGCTGCAGGGTTCAGCTCTCGGGCCAGTGGCTCGGCACTCTCTGTCTGCTCAAGGAAGGCGTCCGTGGTGGGATCCACTGCTGCACTGTGCTCCACGGGGTCTTGAGAGCCATCACGGTGAGCAAGGCAGAGAACCAGGCAGGAAGACCAAGGCAGGGAAAGGGAAATCTTGTTTTTTCCCCCCTTTTTGGTAGAAGTCAAGTGAGGAGGAACAAGGAGATGATACTAGAATAAAAGGTAAGAGAACAGAAGAAGTCCTTCCTGATGTGCTCATGATGGTGGCTGAAGAACTGAGGCTCGATGGGAGCCCCTCCCCACATGCTGGCTGCCCAGGGTCAGCCTCCACTGAAGACTAAGTGATGAGTTTTGCAGACTTACGAAACGAGCTCCATGCATGTGTGCAGAGAACCATGCGTGTGATGCACAGAGATCACGAAGGAGAATGATTAGAAATTATAACGCGATTGTATATGCAAATTTTCTTGAAAAGCTCTCTGGTCCTCCCTGTTTTATTGTTTTCTATTTCTTTGCACTGTTCATTTAAGAAGGCATTCTTATCTCTTCTAGCTATTCTCTGGAATTCTGCATTCAATTGGGTTCAATTCAATCTGTATCTTTCTCCCTTGCCTTTCGCTTCCCTTCTTTCCTCAGCTATTTGTAAAGCTTCCTCAGACAGCCATTTTGCTTTCTTGCATTTCTTTTTCTTTGGGATGGTTTTAGTTGCTACCACTTGTACAATGTTGCGAACCTCCGTCCATAGTTCTTCAGGCACTCTGTCTATCAGATCTAATTCCTTAAATCTTATTTGTCACCTCTACTGTATATTCATCAGGGATATGATTTAGGTCATACCTGAGTGGCCTAGTGCTTTTCCCTACATTCTTCAACTTAAGCCTACATTTTGCAACCAGAAGCTCATGATCTGAGCCACAGTCAGTCCTGGTCTAGTTTTTACTGACTATAGAGCTTCTCCATCTTTGGCTGCAGAGCACATAGTCAATCTGATTTCTACGGTGACCATCTGGAGATGTCCATGTGCAGAGTCGTCTCTTGGGTTGTTGGAAAAGAGTGTTTGCTAGGACCTTCGTATTCTCTTGACAAAATTCTCCCAGCCTGTGCCTGCTTCATTTTGTACTCCCAGGCCAAACTTGCCTGTTATTCCAGTTATCTTTTGGCTTCCTGCTTTAGCGTTCCAATCCCCCATGATGATATGGATGTCATTTTTGGTGTTATTTCTAGAAGGTGTTGTAGGGCTTCATAGAACCGGTCAACTTCAGCCTCTTCAGCACCAGTGGTTGGGGCAGAGACTTGGACTACTGTGATGTTGAATGGTTTGCCTTGCATTCAAACTGAGATCCTTCTGTCATTTTGGAGATTGTATCCCAGGACTACTTTTCCTACCCTTTTATTGACTATGAAGGCTACTCCATTTCTTCTGAGATTCTTGCCCGCAGTAGTATACCTGATGGTCATCTGAATTAAATTCACCCCTTCCTGTCCATTTTAGTTCACTGATTCCCAAGATGTCGATGTTCAGTCTTGTCATCTCTTGTTTGACCACGTCCAGCTTGCCTTGATTCATGGATCTTACATCCCAGGTTCCTATGGAGTACAGATCTTTGCAGCACTGGACTCTCCTTTCACCACCAGATACATCTGCAACTGAGTGTCCTTTCGGCTTTGACCCAGTCTCTTCATTCTTTCTGGCGCTACTAGTACTAGCCCTCTGCTCTTCCCCAGTAGCATATTGGACACCTTCCGACCTGAGGGGCTCATCTTCCGGCATCATATCTTTTTGCCTTTTTGGTACTGTCCATGGGGTTTTTATGGCAAAGATACTGGAGTGGGTTGCCATTTCCTTCTCCAGTGGATCACGTTTTGTCAGCGCTCCCTGCTATGGCCTGTCCGTCTTGGGTGCTCCTGCACAGCAGAGCTCAAAGCTTCATTGAGCTATGCAAGCCCCGTCACCACCACAAGGCACTGATCCATGAAGGAGCAGACAGAGCTACTGTGAGGGTTTACAATGCTTTGGACCTGCTGACATAGTTTTTGGGCTGATGGGTACCACAAAATTAGTGGATTGCCATGTCATGTCTACATCTTACTCTGCAACTTAAAATCCATAGGTTCTTGGGGACCATAGCATCTCTTGGGTAAGGATTTGATTGTTAGCAGTGCAATACAGCCGTTACACTGATAAACTTTGCAACAGAACAGTCTTTAATATTGGGGGTTGGAAACAAAGCCCTGTGAGGAGAAAATTAAGGGTGTTTAGCCTTGAGAAGAGAAGACAGAGGGGAGAGATGATAGCACTCTGTAAGTCCTTGAAAGGCTGCCACCCAGGGGAGGTCCAGGGTCTCTTCTTGCTCATCCCAGGGAGCAGGTCACAGAATAACTGGTTCAAGTGACAGGAAGCCAGATTCTGGCTGGACGCCAGGAAAAACTTTCTGACTGTCAGAGCTGTACGACAATGGAATCAAAGACGCAGAAACATAGGCTCTCCCACACTGAGGGCATTCAGGAAACAGCCAGGTGGCAACTGTTATGCTTTAACCCTTGAGTCCTGCATTGAACTGGGGTTGGAACCAGTGGCCTTACGGGCATCTTCCAGCTCTATAATCCACTGATATACACACTTCAAAAACATCAGTAGATAGAGATGAAAAACATGAACAAATTGTGTATAGGCACTATGTTGGGGTCCCTTTGTATGCAGCAGAGGTGCCCACAGCTGTTGTGCTGCGAAGGACTGGGTGGCATTTCTGCTTTCTTTGTTATCTTGATGAGCCAGCCTCAAAGGGTATGAGGAAAGGAGCAACACCTGTGAAGGGAGAAAGTTACTTTCTGCTGTAAATACAAGGAACAGTCTCCACTGTTTTGTTCACTGTGCCTACATTTGCTTTTGCAGAGGTCTTGTTCAAATATTTGGCAGCTGTCAAGCCATCATCCATTGAAGTGCTTCTCATTGGACTGTCTGGAACAGGGATTGGGCACCTCTGGCCCACAGGTGCCTCTAGGCTACACCAACCCAGCAGGGCCCCTCCCCGACCCTGAAGCCCATCCAGCCTCCAGAAGAGAGAACGGCCTGGCAGGGGGTGCTGCAGGGCTTGCGATGCTTGCCTCGAGCTTTTCCCTGACTGACAGTGACAGGGGGCTGGGGGAGCCAATGCGGGCCCTGAAGGAGCTTGGTCACTCCAGTATCACCTTTCTGACTGGGAGAGCCAAGGGGAACAGAACCATAGGTGAGATCAGCACAGGGCCACAAGGATGAGGGGGCACCTCTTACCTGAGAGCACAGCTAATTGCACAGCCTGCAGATGCCGGCAAGAGCCATTTCGGAACAAACACGGTTTCTTTCTGCCAGCTCTGCAACTGCAAGGTTAGTCCTTCTTGTGACCCTTCAGGTGCTGCTGAGTTACAGGCTCCTGTTGCAGCTGCAGCTGCAGCGCAGCGTTCAGCAGCATGCGCAGAGTCACAGGACAGCAGAAGCGGAAGGCCATGGGGTCCACCCTCCCTGCAGTATGGGCCTTGTGCATAGAGGAGGGGCACATGTCTGGGTCCTCACTGGGGAAGCCGGATGGGGGTGCCACAGGAACATGCCCATTGGCACCCATGGAGTTGGCGGCGCTGCTGACCTGGCTCCTCAGACCCACTGACCCAGAACTGCCCACCCAGCTGGCAGCTCCACAGGCCAGAGCCAGGAAGGGGGCTGCTTGGTGTGAGCATTGTCCCCCAGCCGGCTGGTCAGTCTGCAGAGCGCAAACCTGCAAAACACCGCCTTGGGCTGCAGACCCCGCAGGGACCCAGAGGGGAAGCCCCCTGGTGCGCCACACATCTCACCATGCTCAGCTTACCCTCCCCGTGCAGCAGGGTGGGCGCAGCACAGGTTGCGAGGGCGCTGGCCCCCAGGGAGAAGCTCCGAGTGGGTGTTCATGGCAGCCCGCTGTTGGCTGTCTGCATGTGCCGCCACAGCAGAGTTGAAGCTTGGCCAGAAGATCCACAGGAAGAGAGTCCCTGCACAGAGGAAGGGGAAGGGAGGGAAGGCTGCATGTCCAGCTGCCCGGTGGGCAAAGCCAGAGCAGCAGAGCAAACCCACCTCACTCCCCCCACCCCAGTTGGCTAACTGGGAAAGTGACTGGGCTCCTTTGGCTTCCTTCCAGTCCTGAAGGACGCCCAGGGTTACTCACACAAGTGCATAAGCAATGGCTCCTGGGGGGTCAGGCTCCCTTGCCTCGCGCCCCGCTCCCTCTGCACATCAGAGGTGTACACCCCCTTTCTAGAGAGTCGGGGCAGGTCCACATCCAAACACACGACTCTGTTGCTGCCCTGGCTGATTTGGCCCCGAAGCGAGGCGTCTGCCTTTGACCGCACCACCACACTCACTGCTGCCCCCATCGGGCCCACATTTCTGCACTGTAAACCCCTTCAGGTTGGGAATCATTGGATTTATTTCTGGCAGAAGTTATTGATCCATATAGAATGCTATGTGTCAGAAGCTAAGTCTCTTCAACCATTTCAAACTTCCAGAACAACAGGCAGCCTCTTTGCAAAATAGCTCTTCATTGCCAATTCACAGCAACTGAAAGACTTGTCTCTGCACATGAACAGGGTGATTAGTTGAACTCAAACTAGAAACCCTTTCTGAAGATGCTCCTTTTCAGTAACACAGGGCTGCATCCCTCTCAGTGGGGCCTCCGAAACCTGCGCAGGCCCTCCAACTGGATAACTCTTCTGTGCAGACACCGCGTCATGCAGTCAGGGATCAGACAGGGCATAGGCTCATTTTCCTCCTCTCTTTTGCGCCTTCCCTTATCTTCCAAACCCTGCCTGTTCCCATGATCTGCTTGGGAATCTGGGGGCAGCAGCCTCACCCTCCTCTGCCCCCTTCATTCCCACACCCCACATCTCTCAGTCTTCACGGTCCTCATCAGAAGAGTCAGCGCAACCCTGACCTTGGAATAACTGCCCAGTTACGCCATGAGCATAACCCAAAGTATCAGCAGAATTTGCCACCGCTCTCTGCACCCACGACACTAATGTTTGGGGCCTCTTACCAATCCTAGCAAAAGTATCTGACAGGTAGGTGGAAACTTCCAGTTGTTGGCTCCTGTCCAGGTGGGATCGGTAAAGAATCCAGGAGACTGCCAGTCCAAAGTAGGCCCCAGAGGTGTGAATGGGCATGGACCCTCCTGCGTCTTTTGCCTGAGGCAAGGTGTAGGAGATCATGGAAAAAGAGGAAAGTGTATAGAGCTTGATAGCTGGTTTTATGGCTGGCACATTCTAAGATCCTGTTGTGATTATATTCTCCAATACTTACCTGGCAGGGTATACACCTGGATCACAAATGATTATATTCTCCGGTCAAGCAGTGTTAAAAACTGAGAACTTGATTAATCAGCATGCAAGTGGGCATATTTCAAAGCTGACTGCAGGTGAGTTCAGCCTTCTTCGATGGATGTGTCGGACTAGGATCCCTTAGATTCGAACTGGCTGTGATAGTGTGTCAAAATGGGGGGATTCAAATATCTCCCCCTTTCTTTTTCCCAGGAACACCTTCAGACCAAACCTGTTAAGTCCTTCCTGACAGTCAGGACCCCGAGGCCTTGGAATGGGCTTCCATGAGAGGTCGTTGAGGCCCCACCAGTGCGGGTGTTCAAGGATAGGCTGGACGTGCACATGATGGGCATGTCATGAGCAGAGCTGGCTGGAGCTGGGGGTCAGTCTAGGTGGCCCAGGAGACCCCTTCTGACTCACTCTGTTTCTATGCTTTTAAGATCATATGACCTGATAGCAGCTCCCTCCTTCCCCCTCTGGAACTTTATCATCAAGCCTGTATTTTTTTACTTCCTGCTTCCCAGACTGGCTCTTTCTGTCATTTGAAGAAGTCTGGACTTCTCAAAGCTGGCATACTTTCATGACCGTTTGATTGGCCTAAAAAAAACTTGGGATTGTTTTCCTGGCCAGCAAGGCTACTTTTTCTTATACTGCATAAAACAAGTGGAAGTCCACATGGAAAGGCTTCCCTGCAGATTGCGGGCACAGGGAGGGTCAGAGAGAGCACCTGGTTCTGTCCCCAGCTTGCCACACAGCCTGCTGGGCTGCACCTTCTCATTCATTTACTATTCATTCATTCAATTTATACCCCACCCTTTTTTTCTTACAAGAACACAAAGCGGCTATCATAGTACTCCTGCTCTCAATCTTATCCCAGCAACAACCCTGCAAGGTAGGCTGGGCTGAGAGGCTGTGACTGGCCCAAAGTCCCTCAGTGGGCTCCACGGCTGAGCCAGGACCTGAACATAGATCCCCTGAGTCCCACCCCCGAGCCCTTAATCACAGCACCGCGGTGGCCCTCATCATCTTTTCATTCATACAGCAGAATCGTGTGGATAAAATATGCCTTCATGCAACTCACAGCGTGCCCCTCCCCCACCGGCCCCTTGGGGAACACAGGTGGGGTGTCCCTGGAGCCGGTGAGGCAACTTCCTGGCCAATGACTCACCCCCAGGATGTCAAGCAGGATGTATTCATTAATGCCTAAGACCGTGTCCTCCAGCCAGGTCAGCAGCAGCTAAGCAGGGCTCATCTTGCCCAAGAGCACCCCAAAGGAGACGAGGACTGCCCCAGTGCAGAAGTCAGCGTTGATCATGCTGGCAGAAGACATTGGAAGCAAGAGGTGACCGGCTGGCCGCAGGCCTACGCAGTCAAGAAGGCTTATTAATCAGGTGCCCTGCTTTGAAAAGGCAGGTGCAGTGCTCAGAGCAGACTTCTGCCAGTGGAGAGCCCTCCAGAGTGTTCAGCATCCCAGGTCTGAGGAAAGCTCTGGCTGCAGGTAAGCACAGCACCTGCCCCAACACCTCCTTCAGCCCGATGTAGTTCCTGCCCTGCTAACCAGAGATGCTAACAGCGCCCCTCCTTCCCTCTCCCCATCGGATTTAACGCCAAGTTGGTGCACAACAAATCATCCCTCATCCACGACTTGATTGTGGATGAGGGGGCCGACCTGGCTTGCATAAAAGAGACCTGGGTGGGAGAGGGTGGGGATGTCTCCCTCTCTCAAATGTGCCTGTCGGGGTATCAGGTTCAGCACTGTCCATGCCTGGAGGGGAGGGGAGGGGGGTTGCTTTGGTTTACTGAGCTTCCATCTCCCTCACGGGGCTTCCAGTCCCCTCAAGGCCGGGTCTAGAGTGCCTCTACTTGGTGTTGGGTGACCGAGACAGATTGGGGATTCTGTTAGGGTACCATGCCCAACAGACTCCCTGCCTGAGCTGACAGAGATCGTCTCGGACCTGGTGTTGAAGACCCCTAGGATGCTGGTCTTGGGGGACTTCAATCTCCATGCCAAGACTGTTCTGTCCGGGGTGGCTCAGGACTTCATGGCCTCCATGGTGGCCATGGGTCTGTCTCAACATGTCATAGGCCCGACCCATGAACGTGGACACACTCTGGACCTGGTTTTCTTGATGAGGCAGGAAGAGGGTGATCTGAGGGTGAGGAATTTGTGTCTGACACCCCTGTCATGGTCAGAGCACTTGCTCGTGAGGTTTGAGCTCGAGAGCGGCCTTTCCCTCTGTAAGGATGCGGATCTGATTGTGTTGGTCCACCCCCAGAGCCAGATGGATCCAGATGGATTCCTGAAGGCCCTGGGGGAATTTCCTGTTGATAAGGCTGGTGCTCCTGTCGATGCTCCAGTCGAACTATGGAATGGGGAAATGACCAAGGTTATTGACACGATCGCTCCTAAGTGTCCTCTCCCACCGGGCAGAGCCCACTCTTCCCCTGGGTACACATCTGAATTACAGGCAATGAAGCGGGTTGGAAGACGGCTAGCGTAGGTGGAGGAAATCATGGGATGAATCTGACCGAACACACTTAAGAGCCCATTATTGGGCCATTGCTGCGGTGGTGAGGGTGGTGAAAAAGACATTCTTCTCTGCTTCCATTGCCTCCTCACAATGTCGTCCAGTGGAGCTTTTTCGGGTGGTACAAGGGCTGGTTCATCCTGGCCCCAAGAAAGACCCTGTACCGTCCTTGACGGCCCGCTGTGATAACTTTGCCAAGCATTTCAGGGAGAAAATCGTTCAGATTCGTCACGAGCTGGACTCCACTAATGAATCAGAGCCTTCAGGGGAGGAACCAATGTTGCCGTCTGGTCTTAACTTATTGGATGAGTTTCAGTTATTGCAGCCTGATGATGTGGAAAAGCTGCATGGACAAGAACGTCCCACCACGTGCCTTTTGGACCATTGCCCATCTTGGTTACTTAACAATGTCAAGCACAGCATAAGGACCTGGATCCTGGAGGTTGTCAATGCCTCTCTGAGGGATGGCTGGGTACCTGCCCCTTTAAAGGAGGCGGTGGTCCGACCAGTCCTAAAGAAGGCATCCCTGGATCCAGAGATGGCCAGTAACTATAGACCAGTGGCCAACATCGCGTTCTTGGGCAAGGTGTTGGAGCGGGTGGTGGCGGGACAACTCCAAGCACTCTTGGATGAAACTGATTATCTGGACCCAGTTCAGTCTGGCTTCAGACCCGGGTATCTGAATCTGCCTTGGTCGCCCTGTATGATGACCTGTGCAGCCAAGGAGGGGCATTCCAGCCTTTGGGGAGGAGGAAAGTGCCAGGATGTCCAGAAGATACTCAGAAGCGAGTCACCACGCTATGCCCAGACCATGAGAAACAAGCCGGGTGGGCTTGGACTCTTAACACACAAAGGCAAACACACATTGATAGGTATTACAGAAACTTGGTGGGATGACTCCCATGCTGGAGTCAAGGCAACTGGCCATGATGTGTCCAAAAAGAGCAGAAGAAATAGGAAAGGGGGTGGAGTTGCATTATAAGTTTAAAATACTTATTCCTGTATAGAAATACAGGAAGATGAGCCTGGTAGCCCCATTGAGAGCAGCTAGATCGAAATAAATGCATTTAGGAATGAAAGGGAGTTGAGACTACTTCTGACTGCCCAGTAAGGGAGAAGATGAGGATGAAACTTTTGTTAAGCAAATAGCCAGCAATTTAAGGAAAGGGGACTTCAATTATCCCGATTTCTGTTGGGAGACAAATTCCACCAAAAGTGGCCCCTCCAAAAAATTCTGGTTATGCATGACAGAGAACTTTCTTCTACAGAAAAAGGAGGAAGGAACTAGCAGGTTGGTTATCTTTGACTTAATGCTGACTAATAGGGATGATAGAAACAAAGAAACAGAGCGAGTCAGAAGGGGCCTCCTGGGCCATCTAGTCTGAGCCCCAGTTCCAGCCGGCTCCGCTCATGACATGCCCACCAGGTGCATATCCAGCCTATCTTTGAACACCCTCACCGATGGGGCCTCAACCACCTCCCATGGAAGCCCATTCCACACCCTCGGGGTTCCAACTTCCAGGAAGTGCTTCCTGGCATCCAAATGGAACCTTGGTTCCCTGAGCTTTGCTCCGTTGGAGCATGTCCTGCCTTCCCCTTCCGGGGAGAACAAGTCTCTACCCACCTCCGAGTGACATCCCCTCACATCCTTGTATGCTGCCAACATATCCCCTCTCAGTCTCCTCTTCTCCAGGCTGAAGAGACTCAGTTCCCTCAGTCTCGCCTCATACGGCATCCCCTGCAAACCGGCCACCAACCTTGTGGCCCTACGCTGCACTGACTCCAACCTGGCTATATCCTTCCTGTAATGAGGGGCCCAAAACTGAGCACAATACTCCAATTGCGGGCTTACCAGACTTGTATAGAATGGTAGTAATACCTCTCTCAATTCAGAAGCCACGCTTCTGGCTATGCAACCAAGGGTGGCTTTTGCAGTCTTGACCACTGGATCACACTGCTGACTTATGTTTATCCTGCAGTCGACCGGCACCCCAAGGTCCCTTTCACAAGTGCTGCTCTCCAGGTACTTGTCCCCTATCCTGTGCTTATGACACCCATTCCTATGCCCCAACTGCACTTATCCACACTGAACGCCATCCTGTTGTCTCCTGCCCACTTCCATAGTCTGCGCAGATTTTCATGCTGAAAGAAGTCCTTTTTATTGCTCTTGATATTCTTGGCAAGTCTCAGCTCGTAATCAGCCTTAGCCTTGCGAAGAATCCTTCTGCAATGGGCCTCCTCCTCCCGGTATACCCTTTTGTCTATTTGCCCCAGTACCCATTTCCTACGGAGGTTCCTCTTTCATCTAATCCCTCTAACCACCATCTCTTGCATCCATGGCGGCCTCTCCTCTGCCTCCCCACCTTACTGACTAGAGGTATCGTCAAGGCTTGCGCCTCCAAAACCTCCCTTTTGAGTGCTGTCCACCCTTCCTTTACTCACTTACCTTCCAGTAACCAGTAAGTCATGATACTCTGATGCTCAGGAAGATGCAAAAGGTCACACATCCCTTTTCTGGGGAAAAGGACATGTACATATGCTGGCGTATACATCCTTGTCAGAAACAACCCAATGCCCTGTGAAAATCCTGTTTTAAAGGGGTCTTGGAGTTTTGACAGCTGCACAAGGAGTGGAGTGCACCTTGACAGGGAGCTAACAAAGCTCTGCCCCCTTGCAATTGGCGCTTTGGAGGGGGTTCTTGAGGATCCCCAGAGGTATGTCAAATCGAGTTGCTCTCCTTAAATGTTAAAGGGCTGAATGGACCTTCTAAGAGAGGAAGGGTCTTCGCTCAACTTCAAAAACGAAAATTAGATATAATTTGTTTACAAGAAACAATATCAAGAAACGTTAAATTTCTGGAATGTTCAAAGCTTGGAAAATTGCTTGTATCTTCTGCTTTTCAAAAGAAAAGAGGTTTAGCACTATATATTAAAGAAAAACTGGACCCGAAATATATTCTTGCTGATGAGGATGGTAGGATCCTGATGGTTGAAACTACAATGAAATTCAAAAAGGTGCTCTTAGTGGCAATATGCGCGCCAAATGACCACCAGGAAACTTTTTACCAAAAGTTACATACTTTATTTTTACAAGTGGACTACCAGACTGTGTGTGTGATGGTCACTTCAATGCAATTGTGGGTAAGGGAATGGACCATAAGGAGTGAGATTAAGGGGAAAAAGGGTAGGAGGATACTTCCAAAGCCTTGATCCAACATGATTGAAGAACTCAGACTGATAGATGTTTGGAGGCATAAAAATCCAACCTCTGCCAAATATCCCTTTTATTCAAACAGACATAGGTCATGATTCAGAATAGATAAAAAAATTGTAGAAGAGATAAATAAAGAAATGCAAGTATTCTTTCAAATAAACAAAGCGGAAGAAACTTCTTTGCAAAATGTCTGGGATACAGCTAAAGCCTATGTCAGGGGATTGATAATAACATATTCAGCAAAAATGAATAAAAAGAAAAAGCAAGAGGAACTGATGAAGTGGGAGCAAGAACTACAGGAAGATCCATCCAAAAAAAATCTTAAGGTCCATATGAATATTTTAAAACATAAATTGAATCTCTTGGACACAAATGAACTTACTAAGCAAATGAAACTGGCCAAACAGAATTTTTTTGAAAATGCTAATAATCCAGGGAGTTGGTTAGCCTATAAAGTAAAGAAAGAAAGAGAGAAGAGACTGATTTCAAAATTGAAAGACAGAGAAGGACGCCTACATGTACAAAGTATACAAATTAAGAAAATAGTGGAAGTCTTTTTCACAAAGTTATACCAGTAGGATGAGATTTCAACTGAGAAAGTAAAAGAATACATCTGAAATG